CATCTTAGTTCAAACCAATGCCAGCAGTTCTTATATCTCATTAGCAGAGCATGTTTCAGCATTTCAGCAAGTTGTTTCTTCTCTGCCATCGTGAAAACTCAAGAATTTCTGAGTCATTGGTGTTTTTTTGTTTGTTTGTTTGTTTTGAGATGGAGTCTCACACTGTAACCCAGGCTGGAGTGCAGTGGCAGGATCTTGGCTCACTACAGCCTCTGCCTCCTGGGTTCCAGCAGTTCTCCTGCCTCAGCCTCCCAAGTAGCTGGTATTACAGGTGAGTGCCACCACAGTTGGTTAATTTTTTAATTTTTAGTGTATTTAGTGTACATTTAGTGTATTTAATAGTGTACTCCTCAACTGGGGGTTGTGTGACCCCATTCTGAAGGGGATTGGGAAATATGTGGGGCACATTTAGTTGTCACAATAACAAGAATCTGCTACTGGAATTTGGTGTCTGGGACTCTGGAACAGTAACTTACTGTTCATCCCACACTACAAAGAAGTCTTCAATCCAAAATGCCACTTGTGCCCTGTATTGAAATGCTGATTTAGTGAGTAGAGCCTTTATTAGTCAAGATCTTCAGCTGCAAATAACAGAATGAACTCTGGCTAGTTTAAGTAGAAAGGGAACTAATAAAGGATATTCAGTAGCTCACAGAATCTTTAGAAGGTCCAGAAAATTAGGCTGAGTGGCTAAGCAGTAGGAACCATGCCTTGTTACACTGCGGGCTGCCCTGGGAGAATCCAGCTGCTGCTACTTTTTACCAGCTTGTACTTCCTACACAGAATAGGGATATGTGAGATATGGGACACCTCAGCCAGACAAAGCCTTTCTGCTACTGCTTCTGATACATATCTCTCCACCATCCCTGCCAGAATGAACTGATTCCATGCAGGGTTTCCCTGTTGCTTGGTGGAGTCCAGGTCACATGTCTGAATCCCAGTGAAATGGCAGGCTGAGAGAGTGAGTTCTTGGCCTCCACCTTAGGGCCTCTGTCCTGGAGAAGCAAGGCTCACAAGGTAGAAAGCTACAGGAACATAGGAAAGGAGTTCAAATGACACTGAGCAGTCACCAAGTGTGACAAATGTCCACCAAATCATCAAAAGCCCTTGTTACAGACCTCTCCCTAAAGACACTTCTTGAGCACAGACCTGGTAAAAACAGCTTCTGAATTTATCTTCCAGAATCTTGAAAAGATAGGCTTAGTCTCTCCCCACTGTTGCATATTCATTCTATTTTCTCTGCTTCAATTAGCATATCAGATATTCTTTGGATTCATACATAAGTATCATTTTTGTTTCTTTCCTCAACACTGTAATTCCTGTCCAGCTGTAGGACTTATTTCTTTGTCCTCTCACCTCCTACAACTTCATATATCCCACAGTAGTGGTTTCAAAAAAAAATATTTTTTTAAATTGTGGGTAAGATAACATATGTAGCTAAAAACAAATCAGTGAAGTCAATGTCTTTTGTTCAAAGACATTATCATGGCAATATTGTGCCAAGTGGTTTTGGGCAGGAAATATCAGAAATAATTTAAAGCATTGTATCAGGCCGGGTATGGGTGGCTCACGCCTGTAATCTCAGCAGTTTGGGAGGCCAAGGTAGGACGATCACTTGAGGCCAGGAGTTCAAGGCAAACTTGGGCAACAGTGAGATCCTGTCTCTACAAAACAATTTACAATTCACTGGGCATGGTAGTGTGCCTCTAGTTCCAGCTACTCAGGAGGCTGAAGCAGGAGGATCCCTTGAGCTCAGGATTTGGAGGCTGTAGTGAGCTATAATCTGGTTGCACTGTTGCAATCCAGCCTTGGTGACAGAGCAAGACCCCGTCTCTATAAATAAATAAATAAATAAATAAATAAATAAATAAATAAATAAAGTGTACCAATTTGCTGTGTTTACCTAGGAACAAGAGCTACATATATCATAAGTTGGTGGGACTGTGTCACTTTTCTCAGATCAGTCAAAGAATGTAACACATAAATACACAGGGCAGTGTCATTTAATAGTAGCCTTCCAGAAATAATGTGAACCGTTACTGGGAAAACAACATAGCTTTACTGAAAATAATGAATTAATTTCTTAGTTTAACTGTTTCTTTGATGCTATAATAGAATTGCTTGGTCTTCCAATAAATGATTAAAGGATGGGATATGTAGAAGAATAAATACTGCAGTTTACATTTTAAAATCATCCCAAATCATCTATCAGTTACACTTAATGGATTCAAATACGTAGTTTTGAGCATATTACCTTGGAAATGATAATAGCACCTTCCTCTTTAGAAGCTCTCAAATTACCTTATAAATAAGCCTTTATCCCCAAAACTGTGGTACAGAAATGAAGTGCTATAGTTAACATCACAATTTTAAATTCACTGACTCCAAGTGAACTGCTTTAATATTCATTTTTAGTGTGAATGAAATAATCTAGGGACTTGTCTCATTAGCATGTGTGCTGCTATCAAATTCATACAGGGATCTAGAAACTGTTTTTTAAAGAACATCAAGTTTATTTTTACATGAAGTCTATCTACCTGGGAAAACAGAAATTCAGGATTGTATCTACAGTTTGTTTAAAGTTATTATAGGTGAGATTTGAAAAGGTTGAAAACAAGGGTTGATGACATGTTATCCATTCATCAATTTATTTGTGGAGATACTATAGGTTTTTATAGTATAAAATCTATAGTTTGATTATATAATGAAATAAATCATTATTTTGATTGTATAATGAAATAAATTCCTAATTTGTCACATGATGTGATAGTTTCTGCATCTGTGATTGAGTGCAGAGAAGCAAACACATCTGTGTGGCCATATGCCTGAAATAATGTCTAGAACATGAAGTCAAACTGCTTTAGTTACCTCCTTATAGGAATATCTGCCTGCTGGGATGACTGGAAGGTAACATATTTGGGGTTTGAAATGAATAATTTGAATCTTAAAATTATTAATCTTAAAATTAAGATTTTTGTCTCTAAATTTTAATTAAAATTAATCTTAAAAATTAAAATTCACTGAACATAAATCTAGTATATCTTAAAGGCCTATAAAAATAAATACTTCTATACTTAGTAGATTAATACAATAATAATAATCTAAGATTTTGTAAATGGGACCAAGTTCAAAGCTGACAGAATTTTGTCTTGCTGTTGAAAATATTACTTTTTGACATTCGTAATTCATATAGGACATATTATTTTTCCAGTGACTGATCCCAAAAAATGTTGGAATTTGGGGCTTCCCTACCCAAAGCTAACAACCAACACAAGTCAAACAGAGTGGAAAGTCTTCCAGAGCTCTAAGCTATTCCTGCCAACAGATGAAGTTGGGAGGCTGCATCAAGGCCTCACACAGCAGTAGCTGAGATGGTGGCATCGCCATGAGTAGCATCATGCTGTGGTCACAAAGAGCACTGTTCTAGGATCCTTGAAAATCATGTGGCCAAACTCCTTCCAATTCCAGATTGGGCAGTGAGCCTCAGAAAAGTGAACTGGTTTGGTCAAGATCACGTGTCAGTGGTGGACCCAAGTCTGGAAGACACAGTCTAGAGGGCCCAAGCCAACACTCTGTTGCCAACCATGCAGCCTCCCTGTCACAAGACAAGGCTACGTAACATACAGTACCAACTTAGAACAACTTACTCTGCCTCTGTGGCCCAAAGAGCAGTTATTCTGTGACGAATGGAAATAAAGTCACTTGGAACATTTCAGATCCCAAACTTAGAGTTCTGCAAATTAATGTCTTATTAGCTTTTAAAAAATGGAAAATAAACATAATTTGTTTTATTTTATACCTTCCATTTATAGACCTTCTTCAATGGAGATTTCATTGATAAGGATTAGACTCCTTAATCCCTACATTAAGCATCTATCTAGGTGATTTGTTTTTCAGTTCCATCACATCAGCTGATCACTCTCATATATGTTCAGAGAAATTCACGGCTGCAAAGAAGCTGGTTTAGTCAAACGAAGGTGACTTTCCTTTTCTTACACCTCTTTAATTTGTCAAATATTCATACTTGGTGGAGAGAAGAAGCGCTGCATTGTGGGAAAAGTGTTGGCTTTGACTGAGAACAGATCCGAGGTTAAATTTGACCTTACCTTTATAAGCTTTATAAACTTGGGCTATTTAATCACACAGGGCCCCTGTTTCCTAATCTGTAAAAGTACTAATTACTTCCTAATAGGGTCACTGAAGGCAAGAAATTTAATCATGAGCCTAAATCACATGGCACACAACCTGGGACTTAGTATTTAACGAAAATCATGATTTTAAACTAAAGTAACAATAAGACATGTAACCCCAGATTACAAAAGGTATACTATTTTAGTCTTTCAAATTATCTAGTTGGATTGGGAATCGCTCCCAAAGGATAATTTGTAGATACATGCTGAAAAGTGCTCTCTCTGTAGAAATACCATTAACTTAGATGATGGGGTGGTGAGGATAACAGCGGGGCGTTGACACAGCGTCCTGGGTGACAGTTCAGGTCCAGTTCTCCAGCAGCAGTGAGGCCTTGGATAAGATATGCCACCTCTTGGAGTCTGTTCCCTTATTTGAAACACAAGGCAAGGCCAAAACTATCTTTGCTTTCTACCTTAAGGATTTACTTAAAGAACCCGCTTATAAACAGTCAAGCCCTCTACCACTGAAAGGGGTTTCACAGCAAACAGCTCCAGGATTCTGCACCTGGATGGATCTCCACTTTTCATCTTTGCTAGGATGTCACATCACTGGCACATTCTTAGCTGTTTATAAGATGCTATTTAGATTTTCTTTGAATTTAAGTTTCTGCTGTTAATTCTCGGTGAAGCTGACTGATTTGATACGATTTTATAGCGTGAAGTTGAAGGTGCTTTGACCACTGTGCTACCTTGGCACGAAGGACAGGAACATAAAGGTGAAGCAACACTGAAGCTATCAGAGCTCCTGTTGATAACTTCATTACGCCAACATAGATCCAACTACTTGCAACAGTGAAGAAATGAGGAAAGGCAAGGGAAAACAATATGTTTATTAAGAGCCATGAAAATGCATAAACTCATTTGTAAATAAATGTAGTATAATTTACTCAGTGAAAAAATAGCTAAAATCCATGAGTAAACTGGATTTTATATTTGAAATGATTTTACATATTTGATCTCCAGTGATTTCCCCTCCATCATGATCTATTGGTAGCAGCCATTTTGCAATGACTATAGAAAAAGCTGTTACCAACAATCATCACACCAGGGAAAGTTTTTCCAGAATGCTCTTTAAAACCAAACCAGTGCAAACACATTCAGATTACAAGGGATATGATACGACCTGGAGCTTATCTTCAGAAATGTAAAAAATAAAAATCCCAAACATGAGTTCCTTAAGAAATGAAAAAACAAACTACATTTTGATCAGTGAAAAATATTATAAGGATATATAAAACATTCTTAGCCAGTGATCGCAATAATTACATTTATAAATGTTCATTCAAGTACTATTGTTCAATAAACATTCAAATTCTCATTAAAAGTAACACTAGATATAGACACACCTGGACAATGCCTCTTTTGATTTGGCAACAATCATGTCAACAGGAGGCAAGTGACCCTTCAAATACTGTCGTTGGCTCTGTTTTGTTCTATTTGTCTGTGAATGATTTCTTCACAGTCTGTATTTTTTTTCTGCAAGGACCCGAGAAATATCTCACAACAGCTAATTAAGAAATCATTTTTATAAAATAACTCTCAATATCACAGAAACAGACATTCTTAAAACACAAGTTTGGCTCAAAAAATAACAGGGCAGAATCAGTTTTCTTTGGCAAGAAATTGCTAATTCCTCACCAAATGTTGGTTTGCTGTTGTGCAGACACTATCAGAAACTTCTTTGGTGTTTACCAAAGAGCTACTTAGTAAGCTAGAAAGATTTCAGAGGCTATGTTGCCACAATTGCAATGTAGAGCTTATGTCAAAGTTGTGCCAAAAATAACATCATTTGCTGGATTACTGTTATTAATAAGTCTTCCTTCAAAAAGCTCCCTCCTAATTTTGGCCTGAGTCTCAGGCTTTAATAAAAGTTCCTTTATCTGTTTCACTTTGGACTTCAGGCCCATCGTTTCTCGATGCAAAGCTTCATTAATTAAATCTTGAATTCCAATAGGTTTCTTGCCTAAGAAAAAAAAATTATATAATACATTTCATTAAATATGGCATACTGACTTATCAAAATAGGATTTTAAAAAAAACTTTAAAATGTTGCCCACATTTTATAGAAAAGGTTGCATTTCACCAAAAATATATCATTTACATGAAACATAATTTACTATAAATAAACATCACTGCATAGTAACAGCACACTTAGGACAGACATGAAACATTATGGACTAATTGTACAGATGACAATTTTGACAGTGATTATTTTAAACTTAGCACTTGATAGCTGTGTGTGAGAGTTCTGGCCTCAGATAAAGTGGTCAAATGCCCTGCTAAGCAATATAAATGGCAGTATTCCATTGATGGCAAGGCCTCTTTCGCGGCCTGTGATTTGTGTCCAGGAGGCATAACCCAAAGTTCTCTCTCCCTTGTGCATGGCTGAGGGTGAGCGAAACTTGGGCCATTCTTCTTTCATAAATTAATTTCCTTTGCCAGTCCCAGCACTCCGTTTTTCTTGTTGTGTTTCAGAAACGCCAACACATCGATCATGAAAATATTAGGCAATCTCCACAGACTGAACCAGAGAAACTTAAACAGCACGCTGCAAGTCAGTCCCTAGACTCAGCAGAGGGGAGCAAGGATGCTTTACACAGACTTGAGGGCCTGTGCTCCGGCCTCATTTCCTGTTGTTCTCATTGTCATTGCCATTCCGATCAGCTGCTTCAGTTTTCACAGAGCTCCCCTCCCCCGGCTTGTTTTTATTCTGTGTCTCCTCCAGATACTGCTGGACAGCCTTGAGCACCGCGTTCTCCACCAGCCTCTTACTGAGCCTTACCAGTTCAGCGTCATCAGGCTCCCCTCCGTTCTTTTCACCTACATTCCACAATAGAGAAGAGAGGTCACTGAGATCACACTGCCATAGAAACTTGGCATGCAGGGGCCGGCTAGTTCCATTAGATAAAAAGAGCAAGTGTAAATTGGATCTATAAATTCAAGAACAGTGGGTTGGCTTTTCATTTGGTATTTGCGGAAGCAGGAGCCTGTCTATTCCTGACGCCTTCAGTTTGAAAAGTAGTTCATTAGTCCCCATCTAGACAAGCTCTACCTAGCAGCGCAGGCTGTTTCCCACTTATATGTGAATTTCTGTTCTTCTCTCATCCAAGGCTAATTACTACTACTAATGTCCATGTCATAGACCACGTGGAGTCTCAGACATGTGAATTCACTAAGCATATCTATGATGTCTGCTTCCCATTCTCCAATATCAAATATCAGATCATTGAGATTTCCCTACCATCTCGTTACTTAAGATCACTAATTTAAAAATGCTTGGCCTATAGGTTGGTTGTTAATAAATGCTCAGCGCTGCCATGAAGAGAAAGGCAGTTACTACCACTAGGAACTGGTTTAAAATAAGCTTGTAAGACTAGCATTTTTTTAATCTCAGTGCTATCACTGCTATTTAAGAAATAGGAAATTCTTCAAAGAAAAATTAGGATTATGATGGTAAATTACTAGATGTAAATGTTTTATGGTCATTTTACTTTGCTGATCGTGATGATCCAAGTCTAATTATTCTGTCTTTCATTTTACTCTAAAAGAGCTGGTACCCAACTATTCTCATGCTATACATTTCCAAGTCACTCTCTTCCTTGTCCCCCTTAACTGGGGAAAGGAACTAAGGGGCTCCTTCCTCATGTCCATTCAGTGCTCAATCTCCTTCCATCGAGCTGGGGACCCAGGAAAGAGCAAGGCTGGAGGCAAAGAAGTCATAGGACGTTTGCACATTAAGATCAGCTCAGTTTTGAAAGATCACCTCAGTTTTGGAAGATCACCTATGGGTTCCAGAAGGCAAAGCCAGTGTTGCACTTGCATCTCTGGATCTGGGACAGGCAGATACAAAGGTTGTGAGCTGGAAGATGGACACTGTTTGCTGTACTCAGATGTAATAGGGATTGAAGAACAGAAGCAGGTATGCCAAGGGTGAGAACTGGCTCCCAACCTTGTTTCAGAGCCCCAACTTGTATGTAACACCCGTCAAGACCAATTCGGCTTACAACCATTCCCATCATTCCCAGCAACATCCTAAGCAGGAGAGAGTGGGGCAAGGCCCATCTAGAAACACTAATAGTGGGAACCTTAGCAACTGCCTTCCCCTCAAAGGTGGCAATATGGCACCCTAGACCCATGATCAGAAGTCCAAGATAGAACATTTGCAGTGCCAAATATGTTTAGAATTAAATAAATGTCAATTCAGTAATAACTAAATTGAACTTACTAAATAAAAAGATGTCAGGATACTATTAAAGAAATTCACTGGTAATGTCACCTTGGGTGGCAAGTTAAGATTTTTTGTTTATCAATAAAAATGAATGAATATATTGCCTAATATTTAGTGATTTTATCTCAATCTTACACACAGTGTTTATACTCTGTAGACAACATCTCCAAATGCATTGCCTGGAACTGTTTGTGTAATGACTCTTCCCATTTAAAAGGGAAAAATCCAACTGCAAATGAAGGAATACTTTTTAAGTACCCTTCAAATCACTGTAAATGACTGTCTACATCTGCCATCCTGCTTGTGCTCTGTATCAAGGCCAGACATTGCTTCCTGGGGGCTGTTCCTGAATCTAGTCAGCTTTCTTATCAGCAAGATGACAGGGCTGTATTTGAGTCTAATGAATGGCTCAACCTTCAAATCCCTTTCAGGTCTAATGTTTCATGCTTCTGCAATTTCTACTAGTCCACAGTGAAGTGTCCCCATTAATCTTAAACATTAAGAGATTTAATGTTTAAATCTCTACAAAAATCTAATTTTCCCTTCTGATGTCCTATTTTTGTTTATGCTTTTACTATTATTCAAGTCAGTCAAGCTCAAAGCAAGATTGTAGCCATCTTTGATGCCTTCCTTTCCCTCATTAACCCCCTTAAAGCACAAGCTTTGTCAATTGTGCTTCATGATCTCTCCCGTCTTCGATGTGCCTGGTATAAAACCTCTAGATTATTATTTCTAAAACATCTCTTTCACTCTTCACTCTACAGGGAAACATGCCTGTCTGCCAAGGCTTTCCAACATCTGCCTTTCCAGCCTGACTGCCCACCACTGCACACCTCCACTGTCAGCTTCCAACATCTCCTCAGGGGCTTCCACGACATTCCCAATTTTTAGACAGCCCTCCCTTTCTTTCAGCAATTAGAATCCCATCTACTCCATGAAGCCTTTCCTGATTAGCTAACATGGTTTGGATTTCTGTCCCCACCCAAATCTCCTGCAGAATTGTAATCCCCAATGTTGGAGGAAGAACCTGGTGGGAGGTAATTGGATCATGGGGGTGTGTTTCCCCCTTGCTGTTCTCAAGACAGTGAGTGAGTTCTCATGAGGTCTGGTTGATTGAAAGTATGTAGCACCTCCCTGCTTTTCTCCCTTCCTCCTGCTCTGGCCATATAGAACATGCCTGCTTCCCCTTCATCTTCTGCCATGATTGTGTTTCCTGAGGCCCCTCCAGCCATGCTTCCTATATAGCCTGAGGAACCGTGAGCCAAGTAAACTACTTATCTTTATAAATTACCCAGTTTCAGGTATTTCTTTATAGCAATCCAAGAACGAACTAATACACTATCCTAGCTGGAACTGACGAGGCTCCACTGGATTCTAATAACTCTCACTGCATATATAGCACATGGTCATTTGGTCATTCATTCAACGATTGTGTACTGAGAATCTACTAGATATGCCTAGAGCTCTAACAGCCTACAAGGATACAATGAAGTGAGCACAAAGACATCCCACTGGGTTTCTTTCTTAATTTCTTTAAAAATTATGAGAATTATTTATTAATGTATTTATTCAACATTACTGATTCAGCATCTGCTCTGCTAAAGACACGGTCTTGAGTATAGAAATTATAGCCTCAGCTTCTCGATTATCTCTCCCTTTTCTAACATAGGACACCAATTGTTCATCACAATAAGAGCTCAATACATATTTGTTAGTCAAGTGAATTGATGACTGAAGTATTTAAAAGCAACAGCAACATTTAAAAATGTTTCTACATTCCTATAAGGACAGTATACCATGACTAGAAATGTAAATTTAATACTAAATTTAAAACAAGAGCAGATAATTCTGGAATCATTTAAATATCCATGTGAAAAATTTACCTCTACTTTGCTTGATGAACCTGGTCAGTAAAACCAAATATCTAATCTATGGGACAAATATTAGTTACTTACAATAACTAATTAACTAACCAATCAATCAAAACAATAAATTTACAAGACAATCTTCCAGATCTGTCCTGGACTCCGGCCTCCCTTTATGATTTCCACAAAGTATCCTCAGACTATGACCATTAGCCCAGGGATGAGTCTACAGGAAGGCTTATCACAGAGCCCTGCAATAATGCAGCAATTCAAAAAATAGACATTTTCATGCAGAGATCTTATTTGTGTTCCCACTCTTAGCAGACTGAATTCAATTTAATTAAAAAGAGGGAATCTTAAGATGAGAGTATCCAAACCATATTAGATACCTCTCAGGTAGTCGGCATTTGTCTGACTGCTCAGACAAATGGCTACACTCGTTTTAACTGCAGCTCCTTCAACAATGGCATTTCAACATGCTGCTGCAACATATACAAACTATCTTTTGATATTCCAACAGAAGTATATATAAAAAATATTGTCAACATAAGCAACACACTCTTGATAGGAATATTCTTTTTTGGACTACAGGGTTACTTAACATTCTACCTAATAAAATGGCAGATTAACCTTTGTCTTTGACATTGTTATTTTAGAAATCCCCCAGAATATCTTTGATCAATTTCTTAGGAGAATAGCAAAAATATAAAAGAAAGGTCATGAAAACATTTTTAAGCACACCAAACACAGCACTGGCCCTAAAGATAAAGACTTAAGAAACTTTTCAATCAACTTCAAGTATGTAATTCCACTCTCCATAGGAGTTGTGGCATCATTCATCCAGGGTTTGTACCTATGATTCTGTTTTTGTTTATATTAACCCGAGATTTCTGATACCAAATCAGAGCAAGGATAAAATTTGTATTTGTGGTCACTGAAAAGAAAATAACTCCTTTGTGGTAGCAAAAATATTTTACACCTATTGGGGAAACTGAAGGTCAACATTAATGTGCTTCAGCTGGTCTTATGTGTGAGTTGACCCAAGAACAGTTTAACTGATGTTACATGAAGGGCTCTAGAAACCATTACAACATCCCAAGCACCGCCAATGTTTAGGTGCCTATTTGTCCTGAAAAGAACAAATCAGGCTAAGTTTTTGGAAAAGGGAACGAAGAAAATCTTCATTACAATACAATTTAAGATAGAGTACAACCATGTTAAAATAATAACATTCAAACAGTAAACATGAAAACATTAAAAGTTCTCACTTGTTCACATCCTATCAAAAACCTCATTCGATATCTGAACAAAAGTTTCCTAAGCATCCTCCCTTCACTGGAACTTCCTGTCCCCGATGCACAAGGGTGTCCTCCTTAGAAGTGGAATTTTTTTTTTCTAACTGAGCTTACCTTTTCTTTTATCCATCTAACTAAAAAAGAAGCACTAAATATAGATTTGTAGGCTATTCAAAAAGTTAGGATGGCACACTTAGCTGCCTTGCACACTACCTACAACTGATCTGTAAGGAAGGACAGGTCAGGATCATCCTCAAATGCACATTTAAACTGACACTGCCCTAGGACCCTTATCTGTCAAAAGTATTCGCTGCAGTACCCCAGGAAACAGAGTTCCTGCAAATACAGCTCCCCTCCTCTTGCCAAAAACCAAAACTCATCCCCAACACATACACACCAGAAAGTTTTATAATTAAAACACTAAAGCCATAT